ACTCCATATGTTGGCCGTCTATTGCATCATTTGGTTATTCTTGCAGCACCCAGCATTCTACAACTATTCTACTATTGCAAAAGCTTGATCGTAACAAAGTTCTTCTACTCGGCTAGAGAAACTATTTTAACTTTTTTCGACCCAATATTTTCACCTGAACACGCTTCCAAGAATCATAATATCGAAGCTGGATTCATTCAACCCCATGGGATCAGTTTCACCCATATCGACCTTGAAAAGTTTGATGATGATTTGTTCGACTACCTGGATAGGTTGGACTAAAATATTGGAAAAGCTGAGTCTGCTTGGAAAGTAAGTTTCAATCTAATACCTTAGTTTAAAGCGCTTTACATTTTTTTTCATACCTAAAAGCTATCGGGCGCTTATATCACAATTTGCAATATAACTAGTCTTACCCAATACGGCGCCAAAGAATGCCTTTTGCATTTAGTCCTTGGTGAATGGAAAAACCGACAAATTCCAGAGAAGGATATGGAGCATGAACCTTCAGCAGCGCCTGACAAAAACAGGGCAGAATATCAAAGTCTTCTTCCACCTCTCCCGACTGGGGCCAGCTCTGGCCATGTGACAATTATTCTCCAGCCAGTTCCCAAATTGGAAGAAGACAGCTGTTATCCACGCAAGGAAAATTTGAGCTTCAGCGACTGGCATCCAATATTCTCAGTGTTGCCCTCCAGGGAATCAGCGATTCAAACGTGCTACCTCATATCCACATATGGCTCGTATTTCTAGCTCATGCAGTCGAATTAGAGCCAGCGATCGGGTTATTGGAAAATGAGTTTCAGTGGGAGCATTTGGTTTCTGTGCTGAACAGGCTCGTTGAGAAATCCGACCAGGATATGTTTAGATGCAAGGACTTTGCGGTTCCGGAAAAAGGTCGTGGGAGACCACTTCCAGGGGAATACACTTTACGAGGTCTTGAATGGGCACAGAAATACTTTCCTAACTAGCCATTGGTTTGAAGACGTGCAAGTGGATGAAGAAGAGCATTCAGCAGAGGTTCCATCTATGGAGAATGTCCATATTGAGCGTATCTTGTGGCTTGCCACTCAGGTTGCTACTGTAAGATGTCTTCTCGCTGTTTTTGTTTTTTATAGTTTACTAACCTAATGGCTTTAAAGAATGGTAGATGTTTGGTCTACACCAATGAGAAACTTCAAGTTGATCCGGCTTTGGTGGCGAGAATTGAAGAGCGAAAGCTAGAAGCGACGATTGCTCACCAGCAGGAATTAGGCGAGTCAAGAATGACACCAACTTCAGAGGACTCTAACTCGTTTTCACCACTAGTCATGTCTATATCAGAGGATGGCGATTATGTGCTCGTGGGCCAGTCGGGGGAAGTCAGACGTCTCAAACAACAGCGTCAGCCCAAGTCGCAATTCAAGGCCGGTGGCAAGGCTACTGATTCAGCAGAGGTGCCTAAACAAGCAGTTGCAAAGGGACCGGTATCTCTCAAAGAGAAATTTTCGGTATGTTTTACACACCCTATAGTTATTGAACAACGCTCATAGTTTGTCTAGATTTTAGTCGTTGATACTAATCTACTACTACTCAGCCAATCTGAGATCTTCAAGCTAATGGTGTCGACATTCAATTGGTCTATATTGATACCTAATACTGGTAAGAAGATCTGCATACATTAGCCTCGAAGCCTACTAACCATTTGAGTAGTCACCGCAGAACTCCTTGGCTTGACGAATAGCACGGGCCCTGTTGGGGACTCCGCAAAGGCCGCTATGATTGCAATCCATGAGACCCTCGTTGATAAGAGAGATGTGAAAGTTGTCACCGCGAAGGGAAGCAATGTGACCAACATCGGCTTCTACAAGGAACTTGATAACCCTGGAGACGACGAGCAGCGCAAAACAACCGATGACATCATCATTGAAATCACGAAACTGCAGGGAGAGGCACGGGGATAGGCAATGCCCGGAGATTATGGCGATTGTGAAGCGGCAGTTTTGATTACTGAAGACAGTAATATGCGTGTTAAGGTTAACGCTCGAGGCGTCGCTGCTATTCCGGCATCTGCCTTAAAAAAGTTTCTATCCCCTCGGGCAGGTTCGGCTCGACCGAAACGCAAGCAATTAGGTGCTCCGGCAGCCCCTCCGGACGAGCCCGGGGGTGAAGTGAAGTGGCGTTTGTGGAAACAAGGAATTTGATTCTGTTTTGAACGCGCATCCTATATAGGCTCTGTAAGAAAAAAAGAGGCAGTTATAGCAGTGTTTAGTTTTAGGGGGTTATATTCGTCAATGGAGGATTTTTGGGGGGTTTGTTTCTTTTGTTTGTGTTACTTTCGGGGGGTATGTTGGGGGTTTATCCTTATCTCAGGATGTGTTGGATCTCATTAAATTGTATACGCAATTCTGTTAACTTGTCAAGCTAAACCTATCCTGGACTGAGGGAGATAGCGAATCGCAAGAGTTTTTACGGTATACAATAGATGGTTCTGGCGCTCGATTTTCCGGAACACTTCTTTTTTTCCTCATTCTGCAAGTAAAGTTGTTTGCGGCGTATCATCCGGTTGTGGGATACTCTACTGTAATTATTATTTTTTCCTGCCGCCAGGATGATGCGGTACCCCTCGACAAAAAGGGAGTATAAGATGCCTACGGTTCGACTCACGTTCTACCGACTTGCGTTCTGCCGACTTCCATTCCACCAACTTCTATTCCACCTACCTACACATTCCTCTTCACATTCTACCTCCCTTTATACTACATTCATCTACAACAGCAAGAATGAGCATCCTCATTCAGCCTCGGTCATTTCTGGTGGTTTCACTTTCAAGTTCATAAATAATGATGGGATCCCGCAGATTTCCCAGACTACTCACACATTTGAAGTCGAGTCCCCTCAATGGGTTGTTAAGACCTTCACCTACCCGCAATTTTGCAAAGATGGAAATCAGGGCATTCTCGAGACTGTACACCAATATGACAATATCAACAGCAACAAGAAGGAAAAACCAAAAACAAAGAGCCAGGAGTGGGCTCCCTCGACAAGCCTATAGTAATAGGGACAACTCGCTGGCACATGTTCAGCGAGCATGATGTACAGCCTAAGTATACCGACACCAATGCCGATGTCCGAGTCAAGTACATTTTCAGGGTTAGACAGACCTTTACCTCCTACAAAATTGAAGTGAAAATCAGGTTCCTATCGATACTGCACGCCAATGGGTGAAAGCAGGTGCTGCCTCTTCGGCCAACCAGATGTTGCAGGAATTCCTTACACAGTGTAAGGTAGGATGACTACCAATCCCTCATACAAGCACATTACTAATGCAAATCCATCTCAAAATCCGTTAGTATGGGGAGCTGTTAGTATGAGGAGCCGCCTGACACAGGTAAATATACTCCAGGCACACATTGGCATAATATTAATACTAACAGAGATGCTAGTTCACTTATAGGGGGGGTTGGATACGGATTTAAGCTTCTCAAGTATTTCTTACGGCTGACTCATAAACTTTGGGCCAATGGGAAGTTTGAAGCTGGACTCAAAGCTATGTGCTGTAGAAGTCATAAGCCGTCTCTCAATCCAGAACATGGCTGTTTTTTTTTTTTCTTGTGGGGGAAACAATTAGTAGAGGTGTTCAATGTTAGGAATGGAAAATGATGGTTGAAGATGGGGAAAATAAAAGGTTTTTGGCCTGCATAAAATGTGAGGCGAAGGTGGCCAATAGGCAGCCTGAATGGAAAAGCTGGAAAGTTCAAACTTTGAGTTCCCCCAAAAGACTTCAAAAGTTCAAACCCGGGACCAGAGAGAGGGCAAGAATACGCCCGAATAATATTTTCCATGCCATATGAGTGCCATAACGAGCCATAAATCTAAATACTAGCTACTACTAGAGGGATTTCGCAACGCAAAGTTAGGGATTGCTATCTCTGTGACAATGGTGTTTACTATTGCAACAAGCGAACTTGAAAAATAGGGATTTCGGAGATTCGGGAAGAATTCGCTAGGATATTTGCTTGTTGCAATGTGGGTTAGGGTGGGATGCTGTTGTTTACCTCACCAAGAGAATTCGCTATCTCTTAGCTTAACTAACCGAACATTAAGCGTATGTAGCTCCTTCATGTTGCCGCCCTGGATGACCTCAATATGCCAGACACACACCTAAACCCGCAACCCTCCACTCCCTCCAAAGAGGGGCACTGGCATGCCCTTATTTTCAGTGATATCCTCCTTAATACATCCCCTCAGCCGCCACATCTCTTCTCTCAACTCCTCTGCCCAAAGTTTGTTGCATAGTTTCAATCTTAATTGTCCACTCTTCTCTCAAAACTTCGTTCGATCGTTCCAAGAGAGCAAACATTGCTTGCGATCCAATAATGTTGTGTCGGTTATTTTCTCTCTCGCGTCGCCAGGCTTCAATCTTGTCTACTATGCCAGGTCATACGGCAGCCGATTTTTCAAAAACACAAACAGCAATCTCCAGCTTACGACGACATACAGCGAACTGGTACCCAACATAATCAATCTTTTCTGACAAGTCGTGAACGTTCTTCTGACCAGTCGATTGGCCAAAGCTTGCATGCTCCGAACCAGAATGCGCCTCTCAGGGGCGGACAAAAAGTGCTTGCTCCTTGCCATGTGTTCGTTAAACATTGTCGACTCAGAGTGTAGAAGATGCTCAGTGGATATTTTGAAATAACCATGGGAGCCCCTCTTTGATTGTCATAACGACAGTTGCGGGATGGGTGATGGTGGATGGGAATCCATTGTGTATAGCTATTGAAAGTTGAATCCAAAGGCATATACCTCTGTTTAGTGTTTCAAATTCACAGAATGATGGGGGCGTTAATAAAATAGGATGGGGGAGGGACGACGTGGTTGGCGGTGGGTAGAATGAACTAGGTAGATACGGCAAGGTGAACTTCCTGTTCGTTGCTAATTCTCTTGATCGGAAGAGGGACTGTGGAAGGCAAAGGAGTAGGATGGCCGGCTTGGCTGAGTCATTGTAATGCCCTCTTGAAAGCCAAATGGTAGAGGTAAAAATGTAGATTTAATAATCGGGTTCGCTGGAGTAATATTTTTGAGCTTTGAAGTGTAAAGCCGGTTCGCAGGCAGTTATGGGATACATCGTGATGGGGGGGGTGGAGAGAAGAGGAGAAAAGAGAGAGAGAGGAGAAGGATACTCTCGCGTCTTTGCCAAGACAGACGCCGCGAGCCGAAAAAAGGAAGTAAATGTCCATGGCCGGATGATGTAGATAATATGAACCTGGAGGAAGGCCACCACTGTTGATGTAGCTGAATTTCAACCTTATCTTCATCCTTTCTGAGGTTTCAACACATTTTGGTATGGGGAGCGAGTGATCCATCATGGCAGCGGAGACTGTACGCGCAGTAGTGAGTGTCGGTGTGGTATCTATCGTTCACATTCCAACACATGTGTCAAATCATTGGTGCAACAGCCGGTGTTCATTCATGTCCTGTGCAACGGCAACCGGACACTGTAGCGAAATAAGTGTTAGAAGAGACAGATATTTGTTGAATATTGCGTCGTTCATGCGTCAGATCGTATTACTGGTCACAATGGTCATGGGCGAGCCGGCGAGGAATCGGATGGGTTGGAAGATCATGAGATGTCACGTGGTATCCTACAACGACACAAGTTCTAGTTGATCAGATAGTAACGAGACGGGAAAAGGAGTTGAGGATATAACGGAAATAATACCCAAAGGAGATAAGATAAATAGAGTTAGTAAAAGGTGTGGATGGTAGGGAGATAAGGAACTTACCGGAATCCCGGTATTAAGGGATTTTAAGGATATACGGTTAGGGTTGATATTGGGAATATCAACGGGCACGCAAAGTAGTTAGGAACATTAGTATATAAACCTTAGCTATTGCCCGTAACTTTGCAATTCAACAAATACCGTAAAAACTCGTTAGATCCACTATCAGAGATCGAGGAAGAAATTGCTGTGCTAAACCACAGTAGGCTTAGCAGAGTAGGTTAACAAAGTTGCGAATACCAGTTAACGAGATCCAGGAGGCTCGGCTAACCCAAGCTATACTTCGTCTGGAAAACACTATCACTTTTCAAGGTGTTCTGTCTCTAATCGTGAAGATACGAGGCCCCTACGAGATAGTGGATTTAACGAGTTTTTACGGTAGTTCATACGGCAATTCACAATATTGATGAGGATGTATTCTAGAAGAGGTAATTATTCTAGTTGTAACTACATACGAGAGGGCATTAACGGTTTCTGGCAGTGAGTGAAACTACGAGTAGAGGAACCTGTACCCCATGACCTTTGATGCAGTGACAATTCCGCGTGGTGTCATATGACCAAAAGTACTTTACTGGACTGCGAAGCCGACAAGCAACGCCTGGATTCCATGCCCCCACCACTCCTCCACGCTCTCTCTCGCAACCTTAACAACCCACCATCCACAACCTTAAAGAGTGATACGACCCAAGTAGCACCCCTTCTTTCATATCAAGACCAGTTGCAAGAACAAATGGCGACCGCACCGACCCAGCAAGAAGTCTATCCAACGCCCCCCACCTCCCAGACCCCGGTGTCTAGTGGAAAATGCGACATCTGTGATTACCTTCGCGAGGGGTTAGAAGGGGTTGAACATCTAAGCTATGGTAGTTCAGCCTCATTCACTAGGGCCATTGAGTCGCAAGCGGAAAAATTGCGTTTGGGTAACGCTGGACAGTACGTGCAGTGATCCCAAGCGGCCAGTCCGACCCATGGTCCGGCCTGCAGGTCGGCAGTCCGGCCAGTCCGGCCATGATTCGGAGGAGCCTGGGTCAGTCCGGCTTAAATTATTTCAGGCCGAGAGGTTCGGCAACCCAAGCCGAAGTCGCCAGATGCCCAGGCAAAGCCCGCAGATACCCAGGTTAAACCGCCAGATGCCCAGGTAAAACCCGCAGATGCCCAGGCTAAGCTTTTCGCATACCACTTATTTCTAATTCGACTGCATAACCCACAGATACCCAGCCCATCTATGGATATCCAGCGTATATGGAATCACAATGCATCAGCCACATACAAAGCCTGCAGGCGACCCAGGCCGGGCCCGGCTTTAGTTTTGAAAAGCCGCTTTCCCACAGTCCGGCCACACCCAAAGCCGGACGGACTGGCCGCTTGGTATCACTGAGGACGTGGTGTTTGCCCCTGTGACGCAAGACAAACTTGTGAGCATCAAACATCATCGCGACACCCACCACAAAGGACTACGATTTATGTACCTTAATCATGAAAAGGCATTAATCGTCAAAATCACGCCTGGTAAACGTCACGAAATAGCTACCAGTCAGTTTGCC